TATAAAAAAAAATAAAGTAAAATAAAATTAAAAACACATTCATACTTATTTACAATATTTACAGTCAGCCGAGGGAGCTTCGAGTCGCGCCCTTTCTCTACGTGTGGGCGATAAGTAGTGCTGCCCAAATGCGAGACCGAGACAAGTCTTGGTCTTGCAAACTTAGTCTTGGTCATGGTCTTGGTCTTGCGCAAGACTCTAGCAACTGTCTTGCAGTTACTTCTTAGCTTATTACTATTGAGATATTACTGTATTTTTTTAGATAGGAGAAACCTAACTAAGCCCCAATGAAAAATTAGAGTCGTTAAATGGAAAAGTATATCGGTTATACCAATTATTAACATATAGTAACTAAGATTGTCAAGTATTAGAAACTATTTTCACTTAATTTTTATTTTAAAAAAAAGATTTTTTTTTTTTACCAGTGCTAGTCTTGGTCTTGCAACAGTTAGGCAGCAGAGTGCAAGACCAAGACTGATTTTGGCCAACAGTAGCGATAAAGCAAGACTCCAAGAGATCCCAGCGCCTCTCTCTCAGCCCCATCACTGGGATGGTAATCCAGTCGATTTTTTTTTTTCAATATTAGTTTCCTCTCAAGTAACTTCAATTTTTTTCATTTTTTATTTGAAACAATTCACCATTTCACATTGATCTCTAATATAAAAAATAGTTATATATAAAATATGAAACAATTTGATATCTAAAGGAGAAATATGAGATCAAAACAGAAAATAGTTGTAATGAATGAACCAAACGGATACGAGCGCGGCCGAGCTTAACCGAGCTGGGCCGACGATTAGAACAGGCTTCCATAGTAACATAAGCTTAATATAATACGGACTCTGACTATATCATGTACATACACATATGCGGTTTTCCTAAATGTTTTCTTTGGTATTATTATTAATTATTTAATTGAATATATTACAGGTATATAAATATTAAAATTATATATATAAGGATACTTAAACAAATAAAAATATTCGAAATGAAATATAAATCAATATAGCGTTTATAATTTTTACTTTCTATTGTTCTTTGTCTGAAAATAATTATTTCTGTTAAGAGGGTGGTAAGTGAAAGTTGAGTGATGCGCTCACCGCACCAGATTTTTTAAACAAAGGATTATGCAGGGCGTTACTCCCAAGTGTTTAGCAGATCTCATATCCTTAAACCCTCCGCGAACCCAGACGAGGACGAAGAGATATGGCGACCGAGTAAATAAAGCGGAGAGCCGTCGTAGGCGGAGAGAGAATTTTGGAGAAAGTTCTTCGCGAAGAGAAAGTCCTTCCGGGCCCCTTCCGCCCTCTCCCCCCCCAAGTTTATGCAACCCCCTTGGAGGATCATCCTTTCTAACCCAGTTATTCTACGTCGGCTTGTATTAGTCATTTTTTTTTTCTTAGCAGGAAACGTAAAGGAAATAAGTTAAAATTATAAGAAAAAATTGGGAATTTATTTCGAATTTAGGACAAGAATCAATTAGTAAATAAGTATTTTTCAACTCATTTCTTTTATGGAGGATCGGAAAGTTTCTGTTCCTTCTCCAGTTTAAAGTAGACAAAAAAATATGGTGCTTTAGACCACACGATAGAAGTGAAACATCAATAAGACAAGATAAAAATATAAATTTTTGGTTTATTATTTTCAATAACCAACCATTGTGAACCAAAAAATTCAAAAACAACTCCCTCTCAAAATTTAGGTTTCACATTTGAAGATGCGTAGAATCCGAAAAACGAATACAAATTTTTTTGTCCGTCCGCCGTCCGCACATTTTTTCCGAAAATACTGGACCGATTTTTTTCAAATTTGGATATAAAATCAGAGGTCACCCGAGGATCATCCTTCTTTATTGACATATATATCCGCCTTTTACTTTCAAAATGGCTGCCGAAAAACCGGCGGTGCTGTAGACTGTAGCTCTTAAACGAATGTACCGATTTCAATGAAACTTCGCTAAAGTTATTTTCTTGACGTCCTTTAAATGTATCTACATAACATTCGTCAACGAAAAGAAGCTAGAAAAAAAGTTACGAGGGATGGTAAAATTTAATTCCGAATAACTCAAAAAGTGTACACTTTTTTGTGGATATTGTATATAGTTTTTCAAAATTTTACTGAATTTCCTAAAAAACAAAAATAATTGGTTAAAATCGGACAATTAGGAGCAAAGATATAGCCTCCAGGTATCTTTTCTATGTTCTACTCCAAACGTTATATCCTTTGTTTGGTTTTAAAATTTTGGATGTGTTACTGAAGTAATGCTATTTTTTTTTAGCATATTACTAATGATTAAAAAAATAAGTTCAGTCCAACAATTGGAATCACCTTTTATTTATTTTTCTTTGTAACTAGGAAGGTAATGTTACTTCAGATGTATAGTTGTTTACAAATAATAAACCATTGTGAAATAATTTGCAGCGTTTTTGTTCTATATTCACATTTACAATATATACAATTATTGTTGTATATTAAAAATCAAGTTACTCCATCTGCTTTTATAAAACCACACAGCTTCAGTATCTGAGCCTTTCAGTTGACACTCCAACTCCAATTTCAACATTTTTGAGTTATGTCATTTTAGTGATATTTCCAGTTGAAAAAGTTATATCTATACAGGTAGAGAGTAAGTTGATTCCATAGTAAGTGATTGCAATGTTTAAATATAGAACTATGAATAAAGGTATAAATTTTGCCACAAGAAACATCACTAAAATTAATAATAAAGAATGTTGAAATTGGAGATAGTCATTCTGTCAACTGAAAGGCTCATATATGCCTAAATAGATTTGAAATTATTATATATCTGAATGTTTAACCTATAAATGATTATAGATTGTAGGACTATTAGTTATTAAACTGTTATTTTCGATTGTAAAGTTTACTAAAATAAAAATACGAGATTTTCATTAATAGGGCAAATTTGTCACACTAATTGTAACTGGACAATACTGAGATTTCACAAAGGGAAAATTCATAAGATTATTCACTAATTTAATTTTCTAAAGGGTTACTTGATGATTTTTTTGGAATAAACGGCCAATAAATAAATAACCAATAATTAAAATCTACATTAAATGTATTTAAGGTTATAAACATATCCATGAGAAATATTTTTATATTTCAGTAATTCTTTCACACAAGTACAATTAAATAGTATTTTAAACAATGGCATTGGCTTGATTCGCTGGATTTTAAATACTTGTTTCTCAAACTTTGAAAAAATATTAAAAGTTTATATTTAGTAAGAAAATTTCATTTAATTTCCTTGAAAACATATGATTATGTTAAATAATGTTAGTTTTCTGAAATTATTATTTGTATATTTTTTTTCTCCATTAACTTCTACAAATGTCTTAATTTGATATTATTTTTTCCAAAATCTCCGCTTTCTAGCTTTTTCCCCCCTTCATTATTCAATTATCGAATTCATTCAAAAGTTGTATTTATCCATTTTTTATAGTTACTTTCAATAAAAGAGAGTTAAATTTTCAAAATAAACCATATAAATATAAATAACCATACTCTAAAGGTACTTTAGAGGAAGAAGTATATGAGCAATGGGCATTTATTTAAGCCCTGTACAGTAACATCAATGGGGATAAGATCTAAATGATATTAAATACCGTTTAATTAATTATACAACGATACATCGAGTTAAATCAAAATCGTTTAATCGTTTAATTGGAGCCGTTTTTGAGAAAATTGTAAAAATGTATTTAACCGTTGGTATAAATTGCCACATCTGGTTGGTCGATTTTAACTAAAAGGTTGCTGTCCCATCTAAGGCATCTACCTACTTTAAAAACGTAATATCAGTTTCCTGCGACTCTTCGTTTTGAGCTAGACTGTTCGCAATACTTACTCTTACTATATATTTCATAGGTAAGTGAAAGTAAAAAAATTAACAAATAAAATTATTAAAATAAAATACTTAAATTTTTATTTTTTCTGTAAATAAATGTAAGGCATATATTTTAAGATATATTATCCCCGTATAAAGAAATCATTTGTAGCAGGAATAATTTATTTAGAATATTTTATTATTCTTATACATATAAAATAATATATAGACGATCACTCTTATTGCAATGAGTTAGATATATGAATTAATTACGACCAATACATGAACCAATTTAGTTAATTGCTAAAATAATTCAGCTTCCTTTTGTTGATCGGAATAAGTCTTTTTAATATTTAGCCCGGTTTCGGATAGGATTTTGAATATTAAATTGTTACAAATACAAGCCATCTCAAGACAGTTGTATAGTTTTATCTCATTGATAAAGACAGCACACCTCTGATAAGTGATCATGACTTGAAGTATTTCACCTGGCTCTCCTGCATGCCTCATCTTTCCTTTTTCCTATTAGCAGTTATTTATTAATTTATTATCTATTTATCTAACTTATCTATTTATTAATCATCTTTAGGCGCGTTTTACTCTTTCGTGGAGAGTGAATTAGATTGAACCGTCAGATATCAGATATGTAACGCTCGGATGGAGTCGACTAATTGTAGTGTTTCTGCATATGGGTTAAAATATTTTAAAAACTAAAAATCGGACCTGCATATTGCGAGGGAATTGTTCAGCATTTCATTCTCTCTTCAATTAACTATAATTAAAAAATGGGCCTCAACACAATACCGTGTTAGAGGGGCGAAAAGGAAAATATTAAAATGAAATGAAAATATTTTTATTATCCTGGGACTAATGTCTCATGAGAACAAATTATAAATACTGAGAAAATGCCTGTGTGGCAATACATTAAATTAAATATTTACAAAATAATATCTAATTAAAAATAATATAGAAAGAAAAAAGAACAAAAGAAACATATATGTACAGAATAAACAAAGAAAAATAAAATAACATAAGTAAACAACATGATTTCTGAAGGACCTTAAGAAGTTATCTTATGTACATTTCGCGATCAGTCGGATTGGGCAAGGAATAGGTGCTTAAAAAGGAGAGATTTAAATAAGGAAACTGATTGTGCATGTCGGATATCGGAAAGGATAGATTTCCAAAATTAGACAGCTTGAATTACAAAGGATTTGTCAAACGCAGCAGTTCGGTGAGGAGAAGGATAGAGGTCAGAAGTACGGACAAAGATCTGGTGGGACGGGATTGAATGGAGCAAGGAAGTACTGACGGCGGTAGGATGGATAGAGCCATTTCAACTCGTTATAATAAGCCTATTTCTTGAGATCCCAAAGATAAAACGTATCGAGCAATTTATTAGGCGTTTAAGTTTGGCTTCGAGTTCTTCCAAGAGTCCACCGTATACCATACAACCTTAGTCGAAGTTGGGGAAAACAAGAGAGGAACCACGAGTTGACGGGTTTTGTATGGAAGGAGATAGCATTGACGATTAAACTGTTTTAGGGTAGAAATAGTACGACGGAAAATTTGGGTTGAAACCCAAATTATAACACGTTTTATTGAAAATATGGATTAAAATATCTCACAAACTAAAAATCAGACCTGCATACTGTAAGCGGGGGAAATGTTCAGCATTTCGTCCTCTTTATAATGAGCTATTATTTATAATTTATATTTCATATTATTAATATCGCCTTGCTGATGATTTTACTTTTATGGTGGTCTAAAGCACATAACTTCATTTTTGTTTTACTATCTGATTTTATTTATCCTATATCATACTCCACTGAAAATGATAGGCCCATAGTTGGAAACACCATTCAATAAAACATATATTAGGAAAACATTATTACACAAAGTAGCATTTCCAACCATTTCGTTCCTGAATTATAAAATATACGTTTCTTAATTGCAGGAGCTTCTTTTTGAAACATATTATACTGTACAAAACTTTATTTTGATGTAAAAACTTCTTTAGCCACGTTTTGCACTTTTTAGTAGGTAGTGAATGAGATTGAACCGTCACGTTCGGATATGTAACGCTCATTCGGATAAAGTCGGCTGGAGTCGACTAATTGAAGTATTTTTGCATATGGATTGAAATATCTAAAAACTTAATAATCGGACCTGCATGCTGTAAGTAAAGAAAATGTTCATAATTCCATCCCCTTTGTAATGACTAATTATTCAAAATTGTATCTTATTGCGATGCCATGTAAGTGAGGTGAAAAGGGAAAAAATAGTATCGAAAACTACATAATAATGATTTTTATTGAAGATATGGATTAAAATATCTCAGAAACTAAAAAATCGGACCTGCATACTGTAAACGAATGATTTATTCATCATTTCATGCTCTTTGTAATGACATAAGATTCAAAATTATATTTTAACGCGATATCATGTTAGAGATGCAAAAAGGCAAACAGTTACTGTCGAACAACAAATAATAAAGATCCGGAAAGGGGAAAAAGTCCAAAAACAAAACAAATAATATTGACTAATTTGAACATTTGAACCCTCGTCTAGCTTCTTTTGAGCCTCCTAAGCACGTTTTCATCAGGTTATTCAGAATCCATTTACTACTTCACTTAATCGTTTCACATCAACTCAAGTAGTAATTAAATTCTTTTGTACTCAAAAAAGGTCTTGAGTATACTTGGTATAAATGAGTATACTACTTGAGTATAAAATTTGAGTATACTTGGTACTCAGTACTCAGAATAGTATTTGCCAATATCTGTTTTTGGGCATGGTAAATATAGCTATCTTGTATGAGTGTGTTAGTGTGTCTATGTAAGTGAACTCTTTTGTAGCATGTTCATATGTGGACAATGGAACTATAGTTATAATCCTGAAAGTTTTTGAATGAAAAGTTTATAGTTTTCGTATGTGAGTCGTGGCTGCTCCATAAATATTTCTTTAAAGAAAAAATTAAAATTAACAAACAAAGGAAATATCTTAAAAATTACTTTATTATTTATTGTTATTATTTATCACATAAACACCATGAGGATGATAAATAGAGAGTCTAGATATGAGGCGGTGCGGATACGAAGGCAAACTCGACAATTGATTAAAAAAAAACAAATTCAGTCCTACTGTCGTGACAGTTAAGAGAAACTGAAGGATAAAATCATCACCTATTTAATGAGCGGCGGTTAATTGAAGTTTTACTGTACTACGACTCGCTAAGTTTTCCCCATGTGTAGAAATTACATTTTTTTTGTTATTATTATTTATGAAATTTACAACTGTACAAATTAATATGCATTCAGCAAATGTGATACAGAGAAATACATGATATGACAAGACTTGTAGAGAATCTACCATTGGTAGCACTCTAATATAGTTTCTAAATTAGAAGATCTCGAGGTCATCTTCTTAGTAGAAACTTTAACTGAGGTTTTCTCTATATTCTTTCGCTCTTCGTTTCCGCAATGCCTCATATGGTTTATAAGGCTTGCCGATGTAATTTTATGTCGCTCATACATTTCAGAAAAGTGATACAAAGATAAACTGAATAAAAATTGTATGATTAATACTGAGGCAATGGGATTAAATAAACATTTTTTTTTTAAAGTAGTAAGGTAGCTTGAAAAATGAAAAAAAAAAACTGACAGACTTTGTAAGTTAAGGACTTCAACTTGATTCAGACGTTTCGAGCGATTGACTCCGATAATTCGAAAAATGACAGACAGACAGTTGGATAACTGGAAGACACTGGTAATACTCGTGTATACCTACAAAGCCCCGGAAGACGCCAGAAACAATCTGATTTCGCAGCGATTTCAGTTCTGGCTGCTATTCGTTCCATTGTTCTGCTGGACGAACCCGTTTCAACCATAACGTAAACAGTTTTAGGATCAGTATTGACACTTGCAAGCCATACTGTGATGTTTGCGAATGAAATGACTCGTTATTCATGATTACATAACTTTTTAATTGTGTATTAGTGATGGGATCTGATGGTATTTGATTTATTCCGTATGGTACTTGAACTTGTTATTGATGAATTATATTAAGTGTTTAAAATAAGATTTTGATATAAATTATTAAATATGTTTACCAAATATATAGTGGCTTACTCAGTATCTGTAACCAATCTTGTGAGTACTTTTATTGTATATGATGACCATTATAATGTGTACCTATAAAGTGTTATAATTAAGATATTTGTTTTTATTTATTTTATCGGTTAAAACTTAAATAAAGAAAAAGCAAGATATCGAAAATCACTGAGCTTTAAAAAAATAAAATAAATACAAATAAAAAAATGAAATGCTGAACATTTTCCTCGCTTACAGTATAAATTTCCGATCTTTAATTTCTGAAATATTTTAATCCATATATTAAATAAAACTCGTTCTCATTGGGTTTTCAACACATTTTTTTTTCCTTTACGTCTCTCTAATATGGCCTCCCGATAAGACAAAATTTTGAATAATAGTCTATTAAGAGAGAAAGAAATAATGAGCATTTTCCTCTCTAACAATATGCAGGTCAGACTTTTAGTTTTTGAGATGATTGTACCATATGTACAATAAATAATAATATATTAATTAGAATAACAGAAAAGATAATAATACTACAATCTAAGGTAGTATTTACAATAAGGTAGTAAGGTAGTAGTAAGGTACAATTTATTGTATTAGACTACACGATAGACGACTACACGATATAGTGAAATATCAACAAGCCGAGATTAATATTATGGAATAAAAATTATAAATAATAGCTCATTACAGAGAGGATAAAATACTCTACAATTCCGTCGCTTACAGTATGCAGGTCCGACTTTCAGTTTTTGAGATATTTTAATCCATATGTAAAAACACTTCAATTAGAAGATTCCAGGCGACTTTACCCGAGCGTTACACATCGAAAATCTGACGGATCAATCTAATTCAGTCTCCATAAAAAAAGTGAAAAATGCACCTAAAGAAGTTTTCAATTTATAAAATAGCGATAAATAAAATTCAAGTAAAAAATTCAAATATAAAATAGTGTTTACATTTCATTTGTTAACAGAATGTTGACAGGCGAAAATAAATCTTTTAAGACAAAAAAAAAAAAAAAAGAAGAGAATAATAGTTTAATATCCTAACATTCCATTCAATAAAATAACTTAGGTATTCTTTAACTAATAATTTTTAACTGGTTACTATCAATTGAAAGCTATTGATAGAATATAAAATAAATAATCTCTTTAAATTCTTGTATTCAAAGAAAGAAAAAAAATATTAAAAATAGTTGTGCCAGAATAATATCGATTGTACCCTATCTGTGTTGAAGATTTAAATTAATTCAAGTAATATAGCAAAAAAAAAACAATAATCAGAAATAATAAACACATGAAAAGTGAATAAAAGTAATATAAATATATCACGCTGTATTTCGCCGCATGATATCATGAAAACAAAATTGAAGAACCACTTTTATCAAAATATTTAAATTGAATTTAATTTCCGAAAAAATAATTTCGCGGAACATCTCTAAAAGAAGAGGTTCACGTAACAACGTGGATAATAATTGAACACCAATTATTATTTATTTAAGATAAACAATTTTATATTATTCAAGAGATTTATATAAGCTTTAAAACTGACTCATTCCTGAAATGTTTTTTTATTATTTTGAGTTACCTCTCCAAATGTTATATACACATGGGAAAGGCAAATATTACAGTTTAGATTATAACAAATTTGATAATTATGACTTCAAGTTTACCATGAAAGAGGCTGAGTGAACCCCAGGTCGGTGTCCTACAGGAGAGAACTTAGCCCTAGTCAGACATGGAGAAGGGAACCCAGAAAAAACATAAAGGGATTAACGGGAGCACAGTGAGGGCTTCCCCTGAGTGCTTGTGTTTCCCTGTCGTCACATTGGGAGAGGATCGATAGCACCATTATCGACTACTCTACAACAATCGATTACTATGGTACACCTACAGCCAGGAAATTTTCAGATGTTAAGAAAACCAATTTAGTTTCTGGTAAAAAATAAAATGAAAGAGATCATATATACTGCAAAATATTTGAATCAGGTTCGAACAATATCCTCGCTCGGTTATGATGATAATTTAGTCCTGAACGTTGATGAAAGTCGGTAAAGGACTGGGATTCGAAACAAATGCCGACAAAAAAATATATGATTATATACAGGGTGTTTCAGGGTTTAGTAGCCAAACTGCAAAAATCAACTAAGAACCTCAAAACAAGTTAAAATTTCCTCTGAAGGTATGTCCACAAACGATTTGTTTAAGAGATATTCACACCTAATGATTTTCGTTGTTATGAATTATTTACTTTATATGAAACAAATAAAACCTATTTATTTGTTCTAACTACTTTATTAATGTAAACATTAACATTCATATTAAATGTTGTTCAAACTGAAGGTATTTCTTCAAACGCTCTGTTTAGGAGATGGATTAGATAGAGTACTAATATGGCCTTTCATCCCTAACTGTATAAAAACTATAGGCAACATAAGGGTTAATACTATTTGGAATTAGCATTGGGAACTCTCAATAACATTTATCAGTTTGTAAGAGTCTTTCACAGAGGCATCATTAGGCCTTTCATTTAAACTAATGGTGAATTTGCCGATATGGTGTTTGTATACGCTTCGTGAATATGCCAGGCGATTTCGAATTGAAGATTACCAGACAAGTCTTTAGCTCTACAACGTCTTAGAGAAACTGGTACTTTTGCTGTAACATGCTGATGGTATTTTTGCCACTTTACGAAATGAAGAAAGGAGTGCGACCATATTACAATATTATGATGATAATCCATCTGGCAGTGTACGAAGAGCTGGAACAGAATTAAATATTATGCCAACTACAGTATGGAGAACTCGCATTGCAGATGGACTTCAACCATATATCCATTATCAATGGATGCAAAATTTATTAGCGCAAGATTTTCGGCAAAGAAGAAACAACCTTTAATTTAATGTTGATGTTTAATTAATAAAGTAGTTGGAACAAATAAATAAGTTTTATTTACTTAATATAACGTAAATAATTCAAAACAATGAAAATTTGTAGATGCGAATAACTTCTAAACAAAGGGTTTGCGGACATACATTCATAGATTTTGTTTTTCATGTTTAGAAGTCTTTAATTAATTCATATTTTCACTTTGGCCAATTAAATCTGAAACACTGTTTGGCTGGCTACAAAAATGGCGATATTTTCGGTGATAGAGATGTAGAAGGGAATAAGTTTAAACACGTGAAGAAGCTTAGGTATGTATGTGTATGTTCTACGATATTTAGACTAACGTAACTTTTTTAAACGTAACTGAAGTTAAGCCTAAAAAAGTGGTTGTAGCGCCCCTGTTCATTAATAACAGCGACGCGTCTGAGAGAGAGGCACTGAGATCTCCTTGATCCCTGCTTTTTTCTTCACATGTAGCAAAAAAGGCTGGCCTAGGTTTAATCTTGAATAAATGTTTGTAAATATATGTATATATATATATATATCTATATACACACACATATATATATATATATATATATATATATATATATATATATATATACTTATTTATTTATATAATTATGTCTGTCTTTTGGCATTGGGATGAGTTTAAGTTTCTTTTTTTAATATTTTTATTTTTTAAGTGCAAACTTCTTCAGGCGTGTTTTGCATTTTTTTTGTGGAGAGTAAATTAGATTGAGCCATCAGACATCAGATGCGTAACGCTCTGGTACAGTCAGCTGGAGTAGACTAATTCAAGTATTTATGTATATGGATTAAAATATATCAGAAGTTAAAAATCGGACCTGCATACTGTAAGCGAAGGAATTGTTCAGCATTTCATCCTCACTGTAATGAACTATTATTCAAAATTGTATCTTAACACCACACCGTGTTAGAGAGATGAAAAGGGGAAAATTTGTGTCTAAAACCAAATAACGAGTTTTATTGAAGATATGGATTAAAATATATCAGATACTAAAAATCGGATCTCTATACTGTATGCAAAGGAAATGTTCACCATTTCATGTTCTTTATAATGAGCTAATATTTATAATTTACATTTCATACTATTAATCTCGCCTTGTTAATTTTTCACTTTTAAAATGTGTTCTAAAGCTTAGTTTAAACCTTAGTTTTTAGTATTATAATTTTCCTGTTATTCTAATTTATTATGTACATATGGTTCAAAAAAACTCATTTATCATTATTACTAGTGTCCTTAATTGCAAATAACATGTAATAAAATTCATTAAAGAAATTTTTAAAAAAGTTAACAAACATCGAAGTATAGCTTTTTAGTCTTAAGTTCAATAAGATAGTTTCTTCATATTTAATAGCCCTAGGAGTCATTATTCCATTGAAGTTTCTTTTGCTGGATTAGTGCTAAACTGTTCAAATCACTACTTGCTACGTAACAGAAAACTTCCGCGTTTCAACTCTCATTTCTTCAAACAGGAGACATTAGGCTGCTGATGATGGCCCGGGCTGAAGAAGGCGAAGACCATAAGGAAGAATGGATCCGATCTTCCGGGATACTCCAGGAATATCCTTCCATAGGTGTCCCTCTATATATGGACATTGCTCCTCAGGTTTGGACAATAAAGACAGGTATTATAATGTGAAATTATTTCATATTTCTTCTTCATGCATTGCTTAATAAAACAACTATTACGGGTTTGGAACGTTTAGGGAACCTCTAAAATTCTTCTTAATTAATTTAGGAGTCAAGTGATAACTCCTTTTGAATTATTTGGAATTATTCAAAATTGACAATGAAGTCTTCCTTAAGAACTTGTTTTATTGCACGAGGCAATGTTGCAGATTGAGATCCTTTATTTTCAATGAACAATAATATTATAAATATTTTTCCAAAACTTTGAAGTTTATTTACTTTGTTCTGCTTGTGGTATTTATTATTCATGCATGAAACATATTTATATGAATATTGTGTTTTATTGTAACATTTGCTATTTATTATTGGCATGTTTATATGTTATATATTGTATACCATGACTGTATTTATCTTTATTACTAGTGCTATTTATTACTATTTGCCATTTTATTGCTCGCTATATTCAGAGGTATTATTTTGAATTATTGTATTATATTTTATTTCATTGTTTATATTTAGGCATACAGTCAGATGCTTGGTTGTTATCAGGAAAGGATGTTGTCACTGAATCCTAATGAATTTTACTTTGTACATAAGTTATAAATGTTTTTCATATTAATTTGTTCATTGTTATCATTATAGCCAACTCTATTTGTATGGGGCATTCTCCGAAAACAAATAAATAAATATTATTATTATTAATTAATTTAGGAGTTGGAAGATTTGTACGAAATTTGTATGTAAGTATTGTAGAAATAAATATTTAGATTTTACGTTTTTTCTGTCACCCCTACATTTTTTTTTCCATTTTTTCTGTTTTTCCTTTTTTCGCATATGACTTTCATTTGATTCAGGCGTTTGACTTTCATTTTTCTGTGTCTTGAGTAGCCGTTAAAAAAATTTCTTTAAGAATCTCCCACCTCAATCATTTTGATAATTTAAATGCGGAAACAAATAAAATATTTAATACAAATAAAGTGAGAAAGAAATTTAGTAGTTTGAATGATTCAAAATTCTATACAATATTCTGAAGAACGGAGCAGCTTAGCGGGTAAGCAATGACTTCCAAAGCTCAATGTCCCAGGTTCGAATCTGACTAAAGACAAGTAATTTTTTATCAGACTTGGAATGACCCTCCTAGGGTCAGAAGATCCTGTTGGGGCACACACACACAAAGCCTCTATACAGAAGATACTCTTAATTAAAATAATTAATTAAGGAGGAAAACCTGGATATTGAGCGTAATACCGGTGGGATCACCTCTTTGCGTAATCGCTGACTTTAAAACATTACTACCTCACACAGTACTCAACTAAAGACTCATGAATTGTAATTGTACAGATTTATTTTATTTTTTCCAAATCATTATTTCTTTACCACTACATTAATAAGAACAACAGTTTTTTCGTAATTTATAAATACTTAAAGATTCTGATTTCTTTTAAATATTTGATAATTTGGTGATGAATTTTTTTTTCTAACGTTATTTTCATTTCAATATCCTCAAATAAGCATTAATGAAACAATAATTTGTCATCTGTTTTTCAAACAATATGAGGAGAAATACGAAATTAATTATGGAATTCTGCTTATTGTCTGTTGTTTTTTAATTTTTTTAGAAACATGCCCACCAGTTTATATCAGCGACAACCATATTCCTCAGACAGACACTGTACGTTATCTTGGGTAAATATTCGACTGAAGGATAACCTGAGATCCACATGTCAAAATGAAACTTCCGATATAAAAAACCGAAAATACTATACTCATTTTTTAAAAATTAAAAATCGGACAAAATCTAAATACATACACTTACCTACTCAAACCCATATAAACATACGGCTCACAAATTTACAGTTCTGCAAAAAAACATACAAAAACTACAGACATTTCAATCTAAAAGGTTACGACCTATAACAGGGTCTTAAACTACACTGACATCACAAGGGACTAATTAGCGACATGGCCACAGCTGACATGCCCATCAGGAGAAGATGGAATAGGAGCTGGATGAGAGATCTCCTAAATTAAGGAAGACCAAGACCAGGAAGAGGTACTGCTAGGTAATATTTTTTCCTCATGTCTAAAATTCCAATTTTCTTATTAGTTAAAACACATCTGCTTATTGTCATGCATACGACAAGTGTAGATGGGAACAAGAAATAACAAATTTTATTATTCCAAAAAAATTGTTGCCCAATGATTCACGTCAACTTTAACGTAATAATAAAGAAATATAAAATATTAATATTTTATAGAAGTACTGTTTCGTTTAGTGTCAAATTCGGGATAAATAATAACAACGATATATAATTTAATTTTTGATTAGTGAATGATTAAGTATATTAAAATTTATTCCACACGCTCCGAAATAATATATTAATCTATGTAACGGAGCTATGTCATATGCAAAAACTATTCTACTGCAGATCCAAAAATTGTAAACAACGAACAAGTATTTAATGAGACTAAATCACCAGAATTCATGCAAGAATTTTATCAACTTTTATGAAAAGAAATCAAATCTAAAATTAAAGTAAAACTATTTAACTAATCAAATAAAGTTTCTTTAAGAAATGTTAAATTTGTTATTAAAAAAATATTGCCCAGTAAGATAACCATAGCTTCCACAACAATATAATTTATTACGTAGATGACAATATTTTAATGTATGTAATTTCTAGTTTAGAAATACATTCTACAAGAGAAGCCGTTTTTTTTAAATATAATTTTGTCAAGAATTGGACCATCTGGATATCAAAACTCACAATCCTAGTTATTCCTTATCAAATCGAATAAACGGCAGTAGGAATTCACAACTTGTCCGTCACGAGGAATTATTAATAAAGATTAAATTAAATTTTCGAATACAGTTTAAATTTAAATTTCAATTTCAACAGTTTAAATAACAATACTCTGTATAAACTATACTTTCCATATGTTCACAGCCAACCATATTATACAGCTATTATATTCTTAACTATTAGGATCATTAATTTGATTGTTTAATAGAATTTGATGGAATTGATACTTTTCCATCTGTGGACTACTTTATTTCATTATTTTTTTTTATATTTTTTTTTTTAACTTTACGATTCAGAGTAGATAAGCATGGCTCCTGCGAAAGGATGACACGCAAAATCGTGAAGCGTTCCACATTGTTTGTGTAAAAATTGGAGAATGAAAATAAATTCCAACAAATCCCATCAAATCACCTTTACCCTCCGTCGTAAACCTATGACGTCTTGTCCTACAGTAACTTTCAATAATACTCCACTTATTCCTGTTGAGCAAATCCGCTACTTAGGACTCCATTTGGATAAACGTCTTACTTGGAATCCTCATACTAGACTGAAACGACAAGAAACTGCTCGACGTTTCCGACGGCTCCAACACTTACTAGACAAACGCTCCAAACTTTCTATTAATTACAAAAGACTTATCTACATAACTATAATAAGACCTATATGGACATACGGAGTTGAGCTTTGGGACTCCACCAAACCATCGAATTCCTATCGTATCCAATCCTTACAATCCAAAATCCTCCGTAAAATCCTTAATGCTCCATACTTTGTCACAAATAAAACCATTCATAAAGACCTTAAAGTACCATATGTCGCTGATTTAGCTCGAGCCAGATATCTATCCTTTCATGATAAACTTCAGTCCCATCCAAATCCGCTTGTTTCCACTCTTGCTTCATTCTCGATTCCTGATAATCCTCCTAGGCGTCTGAAAAGGAGATGGCCTCGTGATCTTCTTACTTAAAATTATTTAGAGAGTGCTACCACTGGGTAGTAACTCTTCAAGCCTGTACATGCCATTATTTATATTTGCGCATATTTACTAGTTGTATTTGTATACAGTTGTAAATTCCATTAAATAAACAAACAAAAAAAAAATTTTTTTCAACTTTGGTCTAAAATGAAAGAGTCGTTTTTGAAACATAAAATAACAAGAAATATAAGTTTGCCAATCCGCAAGAGATTTTTTTTTTTTTTTTAAATAGTGAAATTATCTCGTATTTATAATACGATAGTTTTTGGCAGTATAGATCCCTTTTTCTGGATTTTTCTCATTGGCGATGGATTCTGATAAATGATGTATCAAACGAAAGTCATTGACGAATCATATGCACTTCACCCATAACAGTAAATAAAAAAGTTGTAACGATGAGACGAAGCTCTTCACGAAGTTTTAAGCAGATGTTAATAATATAATAAAAAGAGATCTGCACCACGGAATAAAGCCGATTAAAAGACATCTGGAATGATATTTATATCGAGGTTTGGATAGTACTATATCGTACTATCGTGGCGAATCGATATATTGTCAATAAAAAGGCCGGAGATTCGATTATATGGAAAAATCGATGAGACACTTACACGCAGGTGTTAAGAAAACTAACCTCGGCTTATAAAAAAGAGTGTTCTATCCAAAGCATGATTCAGTCGGCAGTTCCTTATATAAAAAGCAACGCCTCCTAGAAGAAGCCATGCATATTCTAGAACCGTGAAACGATTTAAAAGGTCACTTTACGAGCTCCGGTTTCCTATTTTGTCGTAAGAAAATAATCCAGTATCGTCTGTTCAGTCATTGGCTGTTTGTTTTAAAGCTTTTCAGTTTTTAAAAGTATAAACTCAATACTAAATAAAATTACCTAGTTCTGCCATAAATACTGTTACAAAAGTTCAACTTTGTTTGCATGCTTCGGTATTATTTAAATAACCCTTACCTCTATCAGGTTATTTTCTTTACATGTCCGGATAATAATCCTAATTAGTTTGTATTTTTTTTATTATGTAATTAATTTGTATTTTTTAGCAGTGATCGCCTTACACAAAGTTGGAAAATGTAGATCAGAGATTTTCAACACTTTGAAACCTTTTGGTATCAGCCGTATGTTCGTGTACCGCACTATAAATAGATATAATGAGACTCTATCTGTATGTGGCAGACCCCGACCGGGCCGTCCCCGCACTGTGAGCACGGCAAACGCAATGAGAAGTCCCATTCGAAAACAACAAATCATGTCTCAGGAAATGGAAATCCCTGTCATATCAATGTCCTGTTTATATTAATAAGATACGAAATATTATTTCAAACAATTAATATGTTTTTCACAGTCGTCTTATGTATTAAATTTAGGTTTTTTTGTCACTAAATATTTTCTTTTATGGCTATATATTTTAATTAATTATTTGATTATAATAAATAATTAAGTGACACGAAATATTTTTAGCTCGACCAGAGTAGCACTGTTAAAGAAGGCTTGTATATCTATATTTTTTTTTTCAATTGCTATAATTTATACAATTAAATATTAAATAATCTACGTAAGGAAGATTTTTTGGTCGAACTCGGGTTGCGATCGGGTTTCTTCATTCCAACTATTACTACAATTATCCGTTACCATCCCTTATTTTTTTTTTATTTAATTGTCATATTCTTTCATATGTTATATTTAACCATTTTTTATTTCAGATTACGATGTGAAATGGTTAATTATTTCAAATAAAAAAATTAAAGATACTTTAGAGGAAGAAATTTTAGAAATTAGGCATTTAAGCCCAGTTAAAGAACATCAATGAGAATAAGACCTAGATTATATTTATAACTTCTAAATTTTACACTGATATACTGAGTTTCATAAAAATCTTTAGAGCCTTTTTGAGATAAAAATGTGTAAAATCGATGACATCCCAGCCATATTTAATGCATAATATGAATTTTAAGCAAGTAACAATTTTTCACACACACAATTTGTAGAATTTGGATATTTAGACTCAACGAACCTGAACGTAATAAACAATGCTTAAACTTAATAAATTTTAAATTCAATGATAAAAATAATTAAAATCACTTGAAGATGGTCTGAAACCCGAAACGTTAAAATAATAAGATTACCTTAACCATAACTTATATCATTAAATTTATATATTTACGAATATTAGTTTACTAAACAAAAAATTATAAATACTAAGCTTTGCGAAAGTTAAAGGAGGGAAACGATAAGCAAAAATAGTTTAATAAATAATTTCTAATCAACTTCTATTCCTTTTTTTTTTTAACCTCTTTTGAAATTATAACCATTTTTAATCAGCTCCAAGATAAGTTGTCCTAATATTTACTATGGACACGTGGAACTGAAAAAAAACCTAATTTTCAAGAAAAAAATACTTCTTTCCTTCAGGTCTGTCTATGAAGATCATTTACAATAAATCTCTTCTTCATATGTACTTTAAAAAATATTTTAAAAAATCGCGATTAAATCAAAATTACTTATACATTAAACATACTCACAAGATATTTTTGATTCACCATTTTAAGGACCACAATAGAAAACAATTGATAACTTGCTCAAAAATCATATAAGTTCTCTAATTGCAAATTACATTATGTATGAACTGGTACTAGATAGAAAATTACATCATTTCTTTACACAAAGTGAAGTGAATCTGAAGTTTTTGCTTAATAAACATCAATTAAATTAATATTTAATATATATACATTTGAGTTCTACCAATGGGTAGTTTCTCTTCAAGTTGTACATGCCATGTTACCAATGCCACATTTACTAGTTGTATTTTTGTATTTTTAATGTAATTAACAGTTGTAAATTTCATTAAAATAAAATATATATATATATATATATATTTTTTTTTTTTTTTCTTATTACTTTTACAATAGAAATTAGAACCGAATT